AGTGGTGATAAAGGGCATCCTTGTATGATTCCCGTTCTCAAGGGGAATGCTTTCAGACTCCCTCTGTTTAGGATAATGTTGGTTGTTGGCTTTGTATAAATGTACTTAATTATGTTGAGGAATTTCCCTTCTATTCCTATTTTGTTGAGAGTTTTTATCATGCATGGGTGTCGGATTTTGTCAAATGCTTTTTCTGCATCAATTGATAAGATTATGTGGTTCTTATCTTTTGTTTTATTTATGTGATGGATTACATTGATTGTTTTTCTAATGCTGAACCATCCATGCATACTTGGTAAGAATTCCACTTGGTCATGATGAATTATTTTTTTGATATATTGTTGAATTCTATTGGCTAGAATTTTGTTGAGGACTTTTACGTCAATGTTCATGAGGGATATTGGTCTGTAATTTTCTTTTTTTGTGGTATCTTCACCTGGTTTTGGTATCAGGGTTATGATGTCTTTATAGAATGAGTTTGGGAGTATTCCATCCTTTTCTGTGCTCTGAAATATCTTTAGCAGTACTGGTGGTGTTAATTCTTCTCTGAAAGTTTGGTAGAATTCTCCAGTGAAGCCATCGGGGCCAGGCCGTTTCTTTGTTGGGAGTTTTTTAGTTACCTCTTCAATCTCTTCTATTGTTACAGATTTATTCAGTTGTTCTGTCTCTGTGTTTAGGTAGGTAGTGTTTTTCTGGAAATCTGTCCATTTCCTCTAGGTTTTCAAGTTTGTTGGAGTACAATTTTTCATAGTATTCTGTTATGATTCTTTTAATTTCAATTGGGTCTGTTGTGATATCACCCATCTTATTTCTTATATGGGATATTTTCTTCCTCTCCTGTTTTTCTATTGTCAGTTTGGCCAATGGTTGATCGATTTTGTTGATCTTTTCAAAGAGCCAGCTTTTGTTCTTAACTCTTTCAATTGTATTCTCTACTTCATTTATTTCTGCTCTAATTTTTATTATTTCCTTTCTTCTAATGCCCGAGGCCTTCTTTTGCTGCTCTCTATTTGAGTTGTAGGGTTAATGTTTTGATTTTGGCCCTTTCTTCTTTTTGGATGTGTGCATTTATTGCTATAAACTGACATCTGATAACTGCTTTTACTGTGTCCCAGACATTCTGGTAGGATGTGTTTTCATTCTCTTTTGATTCTATGAATTTCTTTATTCCATCCTGGATTTCTTCTATAAATCACTAATTTTTAAGCAAGGTGTTGTTCAGTTTCCATATATTTCTTTTTTTTTTTCCCTTGCTTTTTATGTTATTGATTTCTTTTTTTATAGCTTTATGGTCAGAAAAAATGCTTTGTAATATTTCCATGTTTTGGATTCTGTTAAGGCTTGCTTTGTTGTCTAATATGTGGTCTATTCTGGAGAAAGTTCCATGTGCGCTGGAAAAGAAAGTATACTTGGCTGCTGTTGGGTGGAGTGTTATATGTCTATGAGATCAAGTTGGTTGACTGTGGCATATAGATCTTCCGTGTCTATTGAGCTTCCTTCTGGATGTTTTGTCCTTCACCGAAAGTGGTGTGTTGAAGTCTCCTATTATTTGGAGCTGTCTATTTCTCTTTACAATCTTGTTTGAGTTTATGTATTTTGGAGCCCTGTCATTGGGTGCATAAATATTTATTATGGTTATGTTCTCCTGGTATATTGACCCCTTAATCATTACATAGTGTCCTTCCCTATCCTTTATGGCAGATTTTGCTTTAAAATTTATTTTGTCAGAGAATAATATTGCCACTCCTGCTCTTTTTTGATTGTTGTTTGCTGGATATATTTTTTCAATCCTTTGAGTTTCAATCTGTGTCTTTGAGTCTAAGGTGTGTCTCTTGTAGGCAGCATATAGATAGATCATGTTTTTTTTAATCCATTCTGCCACTCTCTGTCTCTTTACTGGTGCATTTAGTCCATTTACATTCAATGTAATTATTGATAGATATGAGTTTAGTGTTGTCATTTTGATTGTTTTATGTGTTGTTGACAGTTCTTTGTTCCACTTAATTTTCTGTGCTGAGTCGTTTTTCTTTATGTATTTTCTTTTTATCTTTTTCATTGTTATTGACTTTGTATTTGCTGAGTCTTTATGTTTATCTTCTTTTTTATTTTGATGTGTAGGATTGACAGTTTCCTTTGTGGTTACCTTAATATTTACCCCTATTTTTATAAGCTTAAACCAATCTTTCATTTCTTTATATTGCCTTGAGTTCCTCTCTATATGAAAGTTCTATGACTACATCATGTAGTACCTCTTTTCTGTTCTAACATTGTCATCTTTTACATACTGACATCTCTGTTTCCCTATTTTCAGTGTTTTAGCTTTGACTTATTTTCATGACTTCCCTATCTGGATTGATATCTGGTTGCTCTGTCCTGTGTTCTAGTCTTGAGTTGTTATCTGATGTTATAGATTTTCTAACCAGAGGACTGCCTTTAGTATTTCTTGTAATTTTGGTTTGGTTTTTGCAAATTCCCTAAACTTCTATTTATCTGGAAATGCCCTAATTTCACCATCATATTTGAGAGACAGTTTTGTTGGATATATAATCCTTGGCTGGCATTTTTTTTTTCCTTCAAGGCTTTATATATGTCATCCCATTGCCTTCTTCCCTGCATGGTTTCTGCTGATTAGTCTGAGCTTATTCTTATTGACTCTCCTTTGTAGATGACTTTTCGTTTATCCCTAGCCGCTCTTACAATTCTCTCTGTCTTTGGTTTTGGCATGTTTGATTATACATCTTGGTGACTTTCTTTTGGGATCTACCCTGTGCGGGGTTTGATGAGCTTCTTGAACAGATACCTTCTCGTCTTTCATGATATCAGGTAAGTTGTCTGCCAGCAAATCTTCAACAATTCTCTCCATATTTTCTGTTCCTCCCCCCTGCTATAGGTTATTCCTCTTCATAAGAATCCCACATAATTCTTAGGATTTCTTCATTTTTTAAAATTCTTTTATCTGATTTTTCCTCAAATAAATCTGTGTCAAGTGCTTTATCTTCAATCTCACTAATTCTGACCTCCATTTCCTCAATTATGCTCCCATGACTTTCTACTGAGTTGTCTAATTCTGAAATTTTATTGTTAATCTTTTGGATTTCTGTTTGCCATTTCTCTATGAATTCTTGCAGCCTGTTAAATTTGTCATTACGCTCTTGTATAACCTTCTTAAGTTCCTCTGTTGCTCTGTGTGTGTGTTCCTTGGCTAGGTCTGCGTTTTGTCTTATCTCTTTCCTAATATCTTGAAGAGCTCTGTATATTAATCTTTTGAATTCTACCTTTGGTAACTCCAAGACCTTCTCTTCTTCCAGAGGTTTCTTGGTTCTTTGTTTTAGGAGCTTGCTGAAGCCATCATGGTCTACCTCTTTATGTGATTTGATATTGACTGTTGTCTCTGAGCCACTGATAAAATATTATATTTATTTATTTAATGTTTGCTTACTGTGTCCTAGCTTCTTGTTTTGTTTTCTTTTGATACGCCCAAATAGGCTGGTCATGGGAGCTACTCTGATTATTAATAGGCATCTATGAAGCTCTCATGTCCTATTACCAGCTAGTTAAAGCTGTTACGAGGTATGTGATCCCAGGAGTTCATTTACTTTCCTTGAGTGGTTTCAGCTCAGGTGTCCAGGTCATTGGTCACCAAGTGTGTGGTGTAGGCTCTCACCTACAGTCCTAGACAGGCGGGGCTATGTAGAGGTGACTAGAGTAGGCATAGGTATCTGGCTGCAGTAGGGGGTTATGTGCTGAGCAAGGTAAGGGGCTGACAGCTACCCCTGAGTGCCTGGGTGGAAGGCGTGCCCCTGTTCCCTAGAGCACGTAGGTGGGTGGGTTTTGCAGCCAGATTTTGGGCACCTACTGCTGTTAGCTGTAAAGACTGGGAGGCACCATGTATTCTCAGGCCCCTGTCGCGGGTGACTAGGTGGAGTGGGTAGAGCCACCAGTCTTCAGGCCCCTGATGTGGTAGGTAAGGGCCCTGATTAATGGGCAGTGCAGTGTCAAATGTTACCAATCTGCCACTGTCTGTTAGCTTCAGGTATAGACCTGTTATACCGTGCTAATGACGGCCTACGCTGTTGAAACAGGCCCACACAGGTCTAGGCAGGGGTGAAAGGCATTTGAAGTCCGTGGACCCCTTATGCCCGTACCTAGGCAAAGGGGCTGTGCCTGCCCTTAGTTCCTGGCTTAGGGGAGCTGGCAGACTATTTTTTCCTGTTTGTTAATTTGTTCCCTCTCCAAAGCCAGGAGAATGGCTCAGGGAGCACGACTGGTCCCACTTCTGGCCCACGGGGCGCAGCAATCACTGAAGCTGGACCGGGACCAGAGAAGAGAGGGGCGGGGTGGGGAAACAGGAGAGAGGTACTTCCCAGAGGGTAGAAAAGATTTTTTGATCCCGCGTGGCAGGTTAGATGCTTGCACTTAACTTTCGCAGATTCAGCACTGCTTCTCCCTAGTTCCGGAGGCTTGAGCAGACTCTCCACTGCTCAGTTTCTCCTGGTGTGGAAAAGGTGTCCCAAGCACTACTGCTTGCCTCAGCCTGTGCTTGCTGGCAGGTCCAGACTGCACGGTGCCGGCCACATCAGGTCTGGCAAATCCTCACTGCTTCTGAACCGTCTCTCCCTCTCCCTGCTGCTCAGTCCAATTCCTCAACTTTGTCTTTGATGTTCAGGGCTCCTAGACTGTCATATATAATCGGTTCACTTGCTTTTCTGGGTCTTTGTTGTAAGAGGGAGCACAGGAAGTGTGTGACTACTCTGCCATCTTGGATCTGCCTCCAGCTTAGAAACTTTTGATGAGGAATTTTTTTAATACCAAAGTTATTATGACATAATATTTCTGGAGTGCTATGCCATAGGTGGCTATAGAGTTACAAAACAAAGAAAAATCTCCTGAAATTCTAGAAAAGATATTACTTAAGGTCTGGACACAGCTTTATAGTGATAAAAATATGTAACAATGACAGTCTTTTCTTACAGAAGAAAAACGTGAAGGTCCACTCTTACCTGCTTAAAAAGCTGAAGGTTAACTGCCATTTCCAAGAACTGCTTCATCAGACTTGAGCGGTGTTTCACAAAACTCTCTTCACAGAAACTGATAGGCTCACCCTACATGGAAATAAAGATATCAACAGACAGTCAGAGAGCACTAATCATGTTAATGATATATTACTGTCTAAGGAGACACACAGAGAGAAAGCAGAAGTGGAAGCACAGGATAGACTTCAAGATGCTTACAGTCTAAAGGGAGTCAAACAGAGTCAACTATTGTTACTAGTAGAACAGAGTAGCATGTTTTTACTAGTAAAAATATTCCTCTACTGACAAGCTTTCTAATTAAAAAAAAAACAAAAACCTTGGGCTCTTACAACTGCTCAATTTCACACACTCAGAGTAAGAGTAAATCCCAAAAAAAGAATGAAGCTCAACCCTCAAATTTAAAAAAAAAAAGAAAAGAAAAAGAAAAAACCAGAAAGATTTAACATGATTAAATTTAATTGTGTTAAAAATAGTATGTATACCTAAAAAAAAGTCAAATCATTATATTTTCATCCAGTTTAATAAAACATATTTTTACTATAACAATTGCAGCATGATTCTTGTCATTTATATTAGTTTTTATGATCATCGACTTGTTCTTAAATTAATGAAAAGCTCTTACAATTACATTCTCGTCATGATTGCAAATGCAATTCGGATTGGATACTTTCTGGGATAAGTCCCACTTGGCATTCGCTTTAGTTTAGCCTGTTTGTTAAGCAATCATGTCTCTGTTAAGTGTCTTGTGGTAGTTTATCCTCCACCAAATGCTCCTCCTCCAAATCATCAAGGACTTAAATGCCAAGTACAGATTCCACCTGTTCCACTTATTTCCATGCATGACCTCAGAAAATTGTCACTCACTGGCTGATTCCTACCACCTGCTGTCCCTCTCATCAGCCTGAATGCCTGAATGGTCCCCTTTGCCCATTCAACACATATAAAGCTAAGTGACTGAACTTTATGATCAAATTGAAAGCAGAAATTAATGACAATGATTCATTTATTACCATGAACCTTGCAGCAGTCCTTACGTTGCAGTAAAAAGGAAAACATGAGTCTGCTTACCTTCTAATAGAACTTTTAAAAAAATATTAGTTGTAATTTAATTTTAAGGAAGACTCAATGCCTTGATTATAGTTATCTGTAAGTGAAATTCTGAAAATAGGTTACTGCATGAATGAAAGAGTAAGACTAACAACTTGGGCAATTCAAACACACTTGTACAAATGAGACTGTGACCACTTTCTGATGGAAATTAATGACATTATAAAACTGCACTGCCCAATTCAGTAGCCACTAGCTACATGTAGCTATTTAAATTTAAATGTATTATAATTAAACAGGAACCCTAGTGGTCCAATTGTTAAGAGCTATAGCAAGCTAAGGCTGCTAACCAAAAGGTTGGCAGTTCGAATTTCGCCAGCAGCTCCTTGGAAATCCTACGGGGCAGTTCTAGTCTGTCCTATAGGGTCACTATGAGTTGCAATCGACTTGTCAACAATGGGATTTACAATTAAACAAAAATTCAGCTCCTCAGCACACTAGTCATACGTGAATGCTCAACAGCCAGACATGGCCAGTGGGTACTGTATTGTACAGCAGAGACACAGAACATTCCCTCTGGCACAAAAAGTCTTTTTGGACAGCACTACTACAGAAAGAAGAAAATAAAATTCAAACAAATTATCAATAATCTGTTAATTGTTATCACCTACCCCCAGTCAATGATAAAAACGCATTATATACTTCAATAATGATAGTTGCCATTCTTAAGAGCTATAGAATTATCTTTAAATTACATATTTTGAAAATTGGATTAACTTATACAAATATATTTTGGATAATCATAAGTACACTGTACTTGTCACTATTATAGAATTTATAACCTAACAGAGGGAGGAAAAAATTCACGAAATCCCTTTTTTTTATATCTAGTAACAGCATCATACCTAGTTACATGGGGTATCCAATAAATGTGTTATGAAATAAATAAAATAGCATTTGCACTAAGCCTTGTTCCATATGACATATTTTCTTTTCAAAAATAAATACAAAATTTTTAATAATACAATCATTGCTTTTAACGGCAATTCCAACTATATTACTGCTATTACAAAGTGATCTGGATCGCTGATTATTTTAGTTTTTAATTTGGCAGACTTTTTTCCCCAAACATGTAAAGATGTACTATATTACTATCAATTATCCGTCTAGAAGTTGTCATTAACACTGCAAGAAAATATTCTTTAATTCAAATACAAAGCTGTATCTCTAATAGAAAAAGTTCATACTTCCTATGTCATAATTAAGCTTGTCTTTTTTTTTTTTATTTGAGGGAGTGGAGGGCAAGGGAATGGCAAATCTCAAAGGAGAAAATGGATAAAGAGTAAAGACTACCTATGCTTTCTCAAGAGTTGGCATAATTTAGTTATTACTCAATGTGAATTAAGCTGAAAGAACCCTGTCCTCATTAATCTTTTAGCAACTGCTTTCAACCTTTCAAGAGAAGGAGTAAAGAGAAAGTTCAGATTTGCTGTCCATCCATTTATGATAACACAAATCTTAGTAAAAGCTTTGAACTGAACCCTCAACTACTAACACAGTTTATTTACTAAGAATCTCAGATAATAACAAAGAAGACAGTGTCCTGACACATATTACAATTTGCTGTAGGGGAAAGAAAAAGAAGTCTTGATGAGCAATGCTCTGAAGTTTTATGCATAAATAAATAAATGAAGGGTCAGTTATTGTCATCCCTGACCCTTCGATACGGGTGCTTTCAAATACAAACTGAATTGAAGGCATGAGAAGAAGGAACTCTGCTTAGGATCTTCTGAACATTTACGATCTAAGATCAGGGTTGAGTAGTCTTTTAAAAACTTTCTTAGGTTCCAGGTAGGGTGATTATGTGTCCAAGGTTGTCCAGTAAATTCCCAATTTATGCCTGCAGTATGAAAGATTTCATTTGAAGACATAAATGGCTTCACAGAGGAAATCTGAACAAGATTTTGAAAACTAATGGAAGCTTTATAACCAAGGTGGAAAAGATAGTCTTGAGAGGGGACAACATGGACAAAAAGTGGGTGGTATGCTTGGAATGGGTATGAATTACAGAAAGCATCAAAGGAAGATAATAAAAGGTTGGTTGAGGCCTACTGGCTAGTGGATATGAATTACAGAAAGTATGAGAGAGATGAAGGAAGGTTGGACCAGATTAGAAAGGGTCCTGTGTGATATTCTAAGATGTTTGCTGTTTCTTTAAAACACTGAAAAGTTCACTCAAGTATCTACTCAATAAAGTAACAAGATTATATCTGTGTTTTAAAATAGAGAGTTGACAGGCAAGAGGAAGTAATGGAAATAGATCAATTAATAGGCAATGCAATATAAATCAGGCAGCAAACAATGAACTAGGGCAGGAGAAATGAAGAAATAGTAACGACTATCAACAACTAATTGATTATCATTATGAGAGTAACAAATGCTTACATAATACTTATTGTGTGCTAGGCACTGTTGTAACTGCTTTAAAAATATTAACTCATATAAACCTCAAGCTATTTATTGTCTTACTTTACATATGAATATACTAAAGCATGAAGAACGGTTAAGTAACTTCCTCAAGATTACACAGCGTCTAAGTGGAAGAGGCAGGATTCAGACTCAGTCAACACTCTTAACCACAGAACTATTCTGCCTCTGGGCATCCAGCATTATGTGAAATACTTTATTTCCGTATCACTTTATCTATAAAAGTACTGTACAACAGACTGTGATTATTATCCCATTTTACAGATGAGAAAGCTGTGACTAGGAGAGTTTAAGTAGCTTACCCCACGTTGTGAGAGTTTGAAGGTTCATGTGGTTAACTATTTTGATAAACACTTCATGGAAAAATCAACAGGATTTACTGATCAACTGATATACAGCAATGGTTCTCAAAGTGTGGTCCTGAGACTGAGACCTTTTCACAGGGCTTGCAGCATCAAAACCATTTTCATAAAAATGTCTTTTCACTCTCATTTTTCTCATGAGATCCAGTGAAGTTTTCCAGAGGCTACATGATTTGTGATATCACAACAGACTGAATATAAAATCAAACACAAGAATTCAGCAGACTTCTATCAAGCCAGATATTGAAGATATTTGAAAAAAATGTGAAACAATGTAATTCTTCTGACTAGATTTTTTTGTATAGGATTATAGTTATTTTTCATAAAAACGTTTTCCCTCAGGTGTTGGAAACAGTTTGTGCTTGACTACTGACCAAAAGGTTGGTGGTTTGAATCCATCCAGCAGCACCATGGAAGGACACTGAAAACCCTGTAGACCACAGTTGTACTCTGAAGCATATGGGGTCACCATGAGTTGGAATCAACTCTACAGCAGTGCGTTTGGGACTGGGTTTATGTCTTAGTTATCAAGTGCTGCTACAAGAGAAATACCACAAATGGGAGGACTAACAAACAAATTTATTTTAGTACAGTTTAGGAGGCTAGAAGTCTGAACTCAGGGTGCTAGCTCTAGGGAAAAGCTTTCTCTGTCAGTTCTAGGGGAAGGTCCTTGTCTCTTCAGCTTCTGTTTACATGGTTCCTTGGAGATCTCCATGTGGCTTGGCATCAATCTTCCCTCACCTCTGCTTTTCTCACTTGTTTAATCTCTTTTATATCTCAAAAGAGATTGACTCAAGAGATACCCTACCACATAAACCAGAGACTCTATTAGCCGGAGACCAGAAGAACTAGATGGTGTTCAGCTACCACCAATGACCGCCCTGACAGGGAACAAAACAGAGAGTCCCTGAGAGAGCAGGAGAAAAGTGGGGTTCAGAACTCAAATTCTAGTAAAAAGACCAGACTTAATGGTTTGACCAAGACTAGAGGGACCCCAGAAGACATGGCCCCTGGACTCTCTGTTAGTTCAAAACTAAAACCATTCCCAAGGTCAACTCTTCAGACAAAGATTAGAATGGACTATGGGACATAAAATGATACTCGTGAAGAGTGTGCTTCTTGGCTCAAGTAGATACATGAGACTAGATGGGCAGCTGCTGTCTGGAGGCGAGA